AATCAGTTCACATGTGAAAAACACGACAATTATTTACAGGGGTCACAACATAGGACTGAGTAAGTTTTTCTTTTTCTCGTCGGTCTCCCTTCATAGAATCTGCCATATAGGTGATAAGTCTATCCGTTCTCTCCCATTTATTTTACTCGATGTGGTTAAAATATGCAAGACTTTCAGAGGTCAGTCTTTCTTTATGTGAATGAAGGTGCTTTTCACAGAATTTCAACAGTGTTTAAATAGATGTTGTACACACCTTCTATAGCATGCATTTCTACAGCTGATGTTTTTTCGAGACTTTTAATTTGCTCATTTGTGCTGCCCTTCAACTATCTACTCCTTTACCAAATATAGCAGGCCTCAAATTTTGAAAATATTTTCGTATAAGCAGAGTTGCTTTGTGTCATTCACGGGAATATGTCTCTGACACAAACCAAAGCTTTCTCTACAGAATTAAAGGGCTTGAAATAGGCGGAACAGCTTGAACCGTCTGTTTTACGTACCACGTCGCTCTGGCTATCGAGCACTACTGGTTGATGTGAGTGACATCCAACTACTCATATCTCAATCAGTAGTAAGGATATGAATTGATTAAAATAACGAGTTACTTGTCAAACGACTTTAACCAAGTTTTACAAATGAACCACACAACACTCCTTTTGTCTCACAACAGCTCATTCACGAATTGATTCTGATCATGTGGATAAAAATATTAATGACGCATTCTGCTCGAAACGTTTTTTCAGTGTTACTAGAACACGGAATTGCCTAAACACGGAGTGCCTAAATAATAAGAAATCGATTCATGGTATATAATTGCGTTAACTGACATCAAATCCCTCCATGACTCTTTCCCTCACATGAAAGTGGTTTTTAATGTACATGGGAAAACGAACAAGCTAAGACTAAAATGCTCGTCATGCTTAACATTTGTATACTTTGATTCTATTCCTGTAAAATATTGAGTTACAAATAGGAGACTCGTTTAGACTTTCCACCAATAATTTTAAGCTTATTTCTCGTGTTACTTCAAATGGCTAGCTGAATAAAGGGCATCATAAATGCCCAAAGCAACTCGTCTAACCTTGGTGATATTCAAGGCTGCCTATCACTTTAAATGTGGTGAGTTCATTTTTTCGATTTATTCAGAAGAAAACGGTATCTAATTATTCCTATGCAGTCAGAAATCAAGATAGAATTTCGTCCTATTCTGTACATACACAATTATTTATTGCGAACATATTTCGACCAATGAAATATTACGCAAACTAAGAAAATGAGAAGGCGTAATTTATCCGAAACGTGTAGTGTATTTCCGCAACGCATTTCAAACAAGCTGATCACACACGAACTTGTCATTTACCATTATGGGTAAAATTTATTTTGATCAAGTCTCACAGTGCAATACAGTAATATTTCAGTAATATATTTTGGAATGATATGATTATGAGCAATAAATGGTGCTCGAAACGTCATCAGTAAATACTACTGTATAACACTGTGAGACTTTATCAAATTAAATTTTACCCATAATGGAATTATAATCTACCACAGTGCACAAACTTGTCATTTACTTTTACACAGATCAACACAGAGCATCAATAAATACAATATAAGTTCAATTGCCAAAAGTTCAAGGTAATACATAAGAGGTAGGAAAATCACGTAAAAACATTGGATAAGACGAATAAAAAAGGGTGACAATGTTTTAAAGTAAATTGAGCCCTCGTTCTACAGTTGGATTACCAAAGCATGTTCAGAGGAATGACCAGAAGTAGTTTATTTGTTTATCAACCTTATATATCTGAGTGTATTTCCAATAGTGCATATATCCCTATATGTGGAGTGTTCAGATGAAGAGTTCTGCGAAAATTTGAGGAATTAATTAAATCCTGCTTTATTAACCTTTGTTGCTTGTCTTAAATGACTAGTGATTCTTTTAACACAAAATAGATGTAAGCCCTTTTGTATCTAAAGTTTCAATGAATTTACGTGTGTGACTCAAACTTATTTCAGAGATATGTTCAAGCCATCACTGAAATTAACCTAAGATGTGCATTGCAACAGATTATGTCGGGCATCTTTTTTCAGGATTAATTAGGGTACGTACCAAGATAATGTCAAACCTAAGACTATTGTACAGTTAAGTGAACGAATTCGCCGAAAAAAAGACTCTTTGCTTAACTGTTTATTCTTATGTTTTCTATCGTAGTCGCAAACATGAAGCAGCAGTGGCACGAAAACATTAATTATTTTTGTGACCTCAATTCACGTGAAATACTTCTACAGTGATTCCGCGCTGGGTGTAATCCTATCAAAACTCTTCCCAGCGTCATTTTAGCAGCAGATTGTTGTTGTGTCAACCGTAGGTAGGTTTTCATAGGATTCCAGATTCATACGAACTGCCCCGAAAAGCTCATATTTAGTCAGGCTTTTTATTAAGAATTACGCAAATATCTCAGGCTTTTCCAACAACACTATGCAATCAGATATTTTCACTGAGAGTTGAAATTACAGATTCAGCAGCACATTTTCCTTGGATTCGGTTTTCTGCCATCACTTTCATTTGTGTCAACGACTCCCTACAGTTTTTAATTCCCTTTCCCCATGACCCCCTCCATGATACTCTCAGTCATGCGATGACACGACTCTCATTCGGAACCCTTAGAGTGCTAAAATGAGCAAAACACAAATCGTTGCTGGAAAGCTTGAGATAGAAAATTGTTTGTTGCTTGTGACTGCTTTCATTCATCATCAGTTTGAATATCATTCAGCCATGTTATCTAAAAATGTCCCCCAGCTTTACACAAGGGTCTCAATTATTCGAAGACTGGTCACTTGTCTTCTCAGGTTTGGTAAGTTGCAAGAAGTAACAGGATCTTTTTCTTCTATTTGGGCTAAATCAACAAGAGGTACCAATATCTCAATTTATGTTGGTGTCTAACATGAAGATTGAACCGCGTGTCGTGCTGCATTGCACAGACAACAGCAGTAATAAAAGTAGAGGCATCAAAGAGGTCTCCTTGTCATTCACGCACCATGAAACCAATTAATTCAGTGCGACAAAATATACTACTCAAATCAAGTGTTAGTACAAAGATTCTCTTTGGATAATAATTCAGAGTTGATGGAAGAGAAACGTGTGCATAAATCTAGAATATTAATGTCAGTAAACGTTACGTTTGCTTTGACTTTCAGAATTTTCACTAAGTTTGATAGTCTCATAGTTCAAACAGAAAATATTTACTTTGTAATGTTTCTAGTTACCATTCTCACATGTCATTTCGTTTTGTGCTGCTTCTGTCTTCCTTACATGTGTTATGTATTGTGTCACAGGGATCTCTTATTTCCTCCCTTCGCAAAACGATCCACAGCCCCTCTCATCAGCATTCTTCGAGAATACATTCCACACCATAAAACAAAGACAGGATCTTGTTAGCAGCATACGCCACATTACTTAGGAGATTTTAGCTGGCTGTAGACTACTGAAGACAGTTTTACTATGAATATGAATGTGCTATGTACCTAGTTGGTGTTCACGTCACCTAAATCTGGGTAACAAGCACATTTGTGGTCTCCATTAGTCTTCAACTACCATATGAACCAGTAGTATCTATCGCATCGCACAATCTCCACTACTTCTCACGTTTTATCTGCATTAGCTCTGTATATCTTCATTTATTTAGAACATTATTGATGAACTTGATGTGAAAATAAACCACTCCGTATAAAATGTATCAGTCTTAATTAGTATCCAACCCAGTAATTTCACAAAAACTGCAGACTTAGTGGAATAAAAGTCCTTTAAATACAAGTTATATTTGCAAAAATCTTACCGATATTTGTCTCTTGATCTTGATCACTTTTCTGAAGATATTCTGACTAGTTTCACCAAAGAAATGTGGGGAATACTTATTTCACTACTGCTGAAAAAGCCAAGTATGTAAACTCTGTGAAACTAATCAGTACCTTGAATTTGTAGCTGAATTTCTAATTAATTTAGTGATGATGCCAAAATGGATTGCAAAACAAAACTATTTACATATTGAAATTACATCCAGTTGACAACTGAATACAGGGAGAAAATCTCTATGCTTCTATAAACTTACTACAAAGGACCTACAAATACTTTTTACTGATCGACAAGACATTGCTTTCTCTGTCTCATTAGCATACTACTTGTTTACTCTGCATGGTGACTTTTCAGTTGACACGTTTATTTTCGTGACAGTGACATTTAAACTTTAGTGTTGGTTATTCTCCAAATAGTTTAAAGGATATCTATTTTCTACAAGTGTATTACTCAGTACTTCACTATCATTATTATTATCGTTATTATTAATAATATCAGGCAGCCATACATATACTCAAGACCCCTTTAAAAATCTACTTAAACCTGTGTTGAATCGAAAAAGTAAAAAATGTGAGAACTTCAGTCCTATCCTGACCAAGTAGACTCTCTGTCAATTATTCCTTTTATTTAATCTGTTTCCTGGTTGATGAGTTAGTAGTTTGGTGGTAGGATGCTTGTCAGTCACACCTCACGTTGTCTGAGGTTTTATCTTTGACTGACGCACTTCTAAACCTTGCCTAGCTGACAAGCCGAAAATGATGGATGTGTGAGACTAGCAGCCTCAACCTGTAAATCATAAAGAAAAACACCACTGCTACTGAAACTTCTAAGCTTGGTGCCTAATGTTCCACTCGGAACGCAAACAAAATAGAAAATTATTCCTTGCAGACCTGGGAGAAAATAGAGTAAACTACTTTCACTGTAATTCATTCTTCGAAGTTGTTACTCTGATGTATTGGTGTACAGAATTAGTTTTCTTCATAAATTGGCTATGTGTCTTTATCGCGGTTACACATTACAACACCATCATCCACATACGCCAACGTATAAATAACCACAGTGGTCGAATCATTCCTTAAGATAATGAAGGCTGTTTAAGTTGGGGCATAGAAGGAATCCACACTGCAATGTATGTTATTGATAAAGAATAGGAAAATGAAGAACACAAGCTGTTATGAATTCCATAGACGATTTATCCATTCATTGTTTAACTTTAATAATCACAGCTGCTTAAGGAATTCTCCCATTACGTAAATTACGTCATGATTCTGAAACAGTAGATGGCCACCTCTGCTATTACAAACACTGTGATAACTAGTGAAAACATGCCCAGTACACCCATAGACCAATCATCACGAATATGCAAGTGACCAGATTTGAAGATCAATTGTCCAACCATAACTGACACCTGTGTAGGCAGGAAATAAATAAGAAAGTGACGACAGAATATATAAGTAGCAAATATGAATAGATTGATAGACATCAATCAACTCTAAATACAAATTGAGAATTAGTTTCACTAATTAGTTTTGGCTACAGCATGTAGTTTTAATTTTTGTCTGATGATGATAGATGGAATTCAGGCAGATAACGAGTCAGTCAGTCAGTCACTGTCTAATATCCACAATTCAAACACTTCATATAAACGGACACAAAGCATTGGTGAAGTTCGAACAAGTCATTGTTACATGGATAGAAATAACCAACAGAATTGTGGTAATGCATTAGCTGATCGCATGTACTCATGTTTGTTTCTATCGAAGCCCTACATATATGGGTAGGTCGCAACAGTTTGAACAGACGTGAAGGTGTGATGTTAGCTGATGCATGGTAAATCCTGATTAATAAATAAAAGATGGATTGTATCACTAATTAATCATACTTGTCTATATCTCCTCGAGGCTAAGAAATTTTGTACAACTGTTTACCCATACACACATATACACACCATTGTATACTGCATATGCACATATTTTCATATTCAGTTATTTACGACCACGAACTTCTAGTTGAACGTAATCTGATAAAAAGTACACTCCGCTAAAATGTTTAACGAAAAGTGACTAAAATTTTTACTGACATTAAAATTTTGTAAGTCTGAGGTCAAATTTTGATCACAACTCATACAATTTTGATTATTCGGAGTTCATCATGAGCTGACATTACTTATTAAACATGTTGATGCTTGTTTCATGACTCATATGCTTGGACAAAGTTTTTAAAAAACACGATATGACCTTTTTATATATAACCCTCTGTTATGTTAATTTTGATTCATTTCCCTGAAGAAGTTCAGACCGGTTTGCCAAACAAAACGTTGGAATTACTAGTTTCAATTTGGCTGAGATTTTAGAAATATAATTTTAAACATAGTGAACAAAAATACAAGTATAATCCTGGTGTATGAGACAATATGAATACTTCAGGAAATAAACCAACGAATAGGGCAAACTAGACATAGGTTCAAGGTTGAAAATAACAACAATAATAACGATGATGTGGTGTAAACTAAAAAGTACTATTGGTGAATGATTGTCAAATAATAATAATAATGAATTTAATGAAGTGAAATGAACAGGATTTTGTAAATACGATAAGAAGTTGGAAAAGCACTACTTAAACCTAAAGTAATAAAATCATAAGAAAGGTTATAAAAATCATAAAAAGTCAAAAAATGAACGTTTGTCAATGAAACAAAGGAATAGAAGAAGAAAAGAAAATTGTGATAATAATTCAAAGTGCTAATGTTTATGGAGAATTTGTTGGCCTTATTGTAAGCCAAGGTAAACATAGCGGTTGAACATACTTCTTCTACATACAAAGAGTCGGTCTTCTGGCATTGATTTCAACCACTTCAGCTACTGATAGAAGACGTCATCGAGGTCCTCTAGATAGATTAACAGGAACGTGGTAAATAAATGAGAACGCATGGTCAAGTTTTATCGAGTGTCCAGTATCTACCAAGTGGGCTAAGACTGCACTATTTACCCATTTGCTTACCCCTTTCCTCAACCATACAGGTACATGTTCACGCGTGCGCATGGATAAGGCCGTCTGAGTACAGTCAATCCACATGAGCAGTTGAATTCACAGATACACATTGATGGGGCCATCTTTGGTAATTTACCCTTGACTCGTTGTGTGAGTACTGGTTTAGTTGAGAAGTTGAGTACCAGTTTAGCTGCAGGAAATGTTCTCTCTACTGCTCTGTTAAGTTGACATTTCAGAATATCAGCTCCAATTTCCCCTTTGCAACTTAACTTTACAAAGGTTTCTTATCTACGTATCTCAAGGTATTGACATATGATTTTAAGGAAGTTAAAGATAAGATTCCGCTTTTGGACACTTCAATCTGTATTTATCAATTTACTTGCTCGTGTGTAGAAAAGTAAATCAGCCGTACGCAACATCAAGTTCACAAACGTAGTCTGGTTAGCCAAAGAAGAAAAGATCTTCGAACACCTTGTCCTCTCTGGACATCGAGCACCGCCACATGAATGCTTCACAAGGCTACACAGAGGCCCTCTATTTCGTACAAAGGGACTTCGCATACGCCATCTGTTCATAGCTGAAGCATTAGCTATTCTAGATCTGAAAGTGGACCTCTGCATTCAAAGGCGATAAATACATTCACTCACCCTACCGTGGCCAGAGTAAATTTCTTACTACAATTTCACTTCTTATCTTTTTATTACGTACGTTTAGTATTATTATTGTTATGAATGATATTATTTTATTGTCATTATTATTCCCTTCACCCATATTTTATTACCACTCTATTACTGTTTATTAATAACATTGCTTTTTCATACAGATTTCATGTAAAAACATTTATCGCCTTTCCACTAGTTCCTGTCTATTCTACACTATTTTACTGATTGGTCATTATCTCACACTTATCACGTCATGCCAACTTCTGCCTCTTTTCTAACTTACAATTAGTCATCCATTCTAGTTTACACCTTACATTATGTAATACATTTTTCGAGGACAAAGTTTACCAGTATCTGATTGGTCTACAGATTTCTTTGTTAAGTGTAATTACGATTCTACAGCTCATAAAAATGAATCGGCGAAAAGAAAATTTTTTTCTCTGTTTACGCCTTTTTCTTATCTTCAGAAGCATTGAAAAGCTGATGTCGAGATCGCAGAGGATATGCGGTAGACTGTGCAGAACCAGAAGACGCGCACACATTGACCGCAGACTCTGGAAGATCTTGATTTCCTGGACGACTTACGTCTAAAATTACATAAACTCGAAGACATTCAGGAGAAATCCAGAATTGGAAGCAGCAAAAATAGGACTTCAATTGACAAAGAAAAGATAATGTAATAATAATAATAGCTTTATTCCAAACAGTATTTGTGGTACAGGTATGGAATTTTCAGCGTGCATTACAATATTGCATCTAATTACCTCATAAATTTTATAAGATTTTAAAAATAAAAAGCAACAACAACAAAAAGAAAAAAAGGGAAATAAAAGAAATAAAAAAAGAACAGCATTGCATTCACATATTTAAACAATGCACCACACGATATGAAATATAAAATTAGTGTGTAATAGAATATGTGAGCAACAATATAATAGTAACAAAGAAAGGAGAACAAAAGCTAATGGGAACTATTTGTTAGAGTGCCGCAGTAAGGTGATCGTGTCATGCCTAACAGTTTTCTCATCACATAACAGCTGTGCCAGATAAGGTATTGTGGAGATTTTATACTTGGTAGTCCTGGCATATAGCTTCCTATAGTTGCTTCTAGTTCTACCAGATGAAATGCAAGGAGAGAGCTGCGTATAGAGAGGGTGTTCAGGGTCTGACAATATAGAATTCGCTAGTTTCTTACATGACATTATATGTCTATCCACAATAGTGTTAACCAGTTGGTTTAACGAAATCCCACTTGCCCTACTAACAGCTTTTAGTGCCCTACGCAGCGAAGCAAAGTCTTTCTTAAGTAGTCCAGGGAAGATTAATGGGGAGCAGTAAAGAGGGATGGGTAGAATACAGGAATTGACAAACTGAGAAAGCAAAGACTGCTTTATACCAGACTGCCTTAACTTCCTAACGTAGAACGTTAAGCGAAACATCTTTCTAGTAACTAGCAAGATGTGAGAGGACAACTACAGTAGACAACTACAGTGAACACCAATCACATCCTTCGCTTATTTCTGTAGTATGGTTTCAACTGCGAGCGGTGACATGGATGACGATGTCAAAACCAGAATCGGAAATGCAACGTAGACCTTCATCCAGCTAAAATCAGTGTATAAATCTTCTGAATTCAACACAAACAAAAGAAAAATCTTCGACTTTTTTTCTATGTAGGTCAAAAACTTGATGCGCGCATCACAGGAAGCACTTCTAACGCGCTGTAGACTTCCATGAACAGCTTCCTGCACTCCATACTAAGACCAAATGACCAGAAAGAATTAGTGACAAGAAACCATGAGAACAGGCATACGCCCAGTGTTCAACAACCATGCCGAAGAAAATGGAGAGGGATAAGTCTCACGCTGAGAAGACTTTCGAATGAAATCGCACATCACACACTAAGGTGAAATCCGAATGGGGGACGATGAGTGGGTCATGAACTTGAGAATGACAGAAGGGAGATAGTGGAGGAGGAGATGAGAAAATATAGGCAATCGAGAGGCCAGCTAAAGATGACAGCAGAAAATAGGACAAAGTGGAGATGAACTATTGAATTCCTACGTCACACTCGAAACCGAAAGGAAGAATGGTATTGATATAATAATAAACTGTGCATCTTATTGCTTTGTTGAAAAGCAAGGAATCTTCAGTTTTGCGATAAGCTGTCAATTGCAAGAGTGAGCGATTCTCGATTTGGAGAAATGAAAATCTTGGTAGGACGACAGTATAAGATAAGTGGTTTGGCTGATGTGGAGATTTTCGACGTGAAAATACGAACTATAATCTTATAATTCAAACATTCGAAACGAAATGGATTGAAGAAAGAGGAGCTTTGATTTAAATGGTAAACCATATCAGTCATTGTTTTGACTTTTAGAATAATTTACTCACCAGAAACGCTTCAATAAACATTCCTATTCCAGCGATGATAACAGCAACCTAAAATTGAAATGAACAGTCGAAGTAAGGACAGTGTGAACAGGACAAACTTGAATAATAATTGAATGAAATGAAAGTTGAACTCATTTTCTGGATGGAAAGTGACACTCTACGATGCATTTAGTCGTGAAAGTATTCAGCAGTATGTTTCAGTCATCTTTTTTTTAATGTGCTTACGAGTTTCATTAGCGATGCGTTTGGCTGTAACACTCAACTCTCCCTCACTTCTGGACTAAGTGATGGCTGTTAAACTATGCGAGGGATAATGCCTCGACAAGGAATCCAAGTACATGGTAGGCAAATACATATTGGCAACAAAATATCTAATAGCCTACTGTCCACCAAAAGTGCAGAACCAGGTTGCACTGGACGGCAGTTTCGGTTTCCTCAGCAGCACAGGCCCATCAGTATCCTAACTCAGGATTTTCCTGTTACAAAACAGCCTCGTATACCATTAAGTCACTGATAAGAAATACAATGGAACATTAATTCCACTTTCTGTCAGTTCGTGATATATACGGTGCAACCAGCAGCCACTTTTATCGGTTAGTAGCTATTGTCACTCCTGACTTGATGGACCTCTCTGGTCACTAATTCCAGAGAGACGTTGGAATTTATGAGTCATAAGATTTGACCCCAGTGGCCAAATGATCTGAGAGCCTGCTCTGCAACCGAAAGTTCATGGGTGTGAATTCTGGTAGGTGCGTACTGATGTACAGTCTAAAACTAAGATAAAACAATCATACAGTACTCCCTAAGTTTCCATTGTTGTTAAAACCAAAGTCAGCTTGTGATGAAACCTGTGATCAATCAAATGCCTGCGAGCCAAAACTTGAAAATATGCAGACGTATACGCAGATGGATTGGATATTCGCTGAAGAGACGTTCAAATTGTATTCTGCTAAAATCTGTCCAATGTTATCCGAATGATTTAAAAAACCAAGTTAGGTATAGGTCTGACAGTGAACCGGAGAAGATCATGAGAAGCCATTATGATCGCTTGTGTATAGTCCTGGATTCCGCTGAAAGTGATAACAGAGAACTGAGTGGAGAGGAGATGAGCTTGTGAAGTCATATGTTTCACTCGGATCTCAAGGAACCAATAATTGTAATAATACGTCTAACTTTGTTTCCTAAGCTAGTAATTTATTGCTTATATAAAATGACTAAATAGTTGACTGTAATTCTTAATGTTATTCTTATTTGTATGGAAAAATAAATCTTGTCTTCTCTGTCAATCATCTGTTTCTTCTCATTGTGAGGAATGGTAGTCCGTTTGATCGGTAGCATATTGCTTTCCAGTGCTGAAGTCGCAGTCACAACACTTTAGGCACGTGTATTATTGTTGTGTTGAAGTAGCTGTAGAACGAGTCCACAATCCCAGTAACATTGAAGTTACACCAGAAATAGTAAACATAAATTTCATTCATTAATTATTTAGTACTCCAGTACTCCCTAGTGGTTTACAGTGGTTGGCTAACTGTTATAAATCCATGATTAAACCTAAAATAAAAGGATACATATAAACTGACAATATGTTAACATACCATGACTTTTTTGAAAGCAATTAGTACTCCCATGGCAATGCCTGTCAGAACAAAAATCACAACACACACTAACAGGAAGGCGTCGAATTTCTTAATCAAATCTTTCTTTATCATTGCCCCTAAAAATACTCCACATGCACATATGACAACAGCTGCAACCCAACCCAGAATAACATCCACAAGTGTAGCACTGGTAAAGAAAATGGACAGACAAATAGAGCAACATATTCCCTGGAGTTGAAAAGTAAAAGAAAACAAATTAGACACAGAGTCAATTTATTTATAGCAAATTTTGATTTCATGTTCGCTTCAAAAAACAGCTAAATAACACCTGAAGTGTATTTGTTAAAGGCGTTTGCCATTCATTTCTTCAAAGTGTAACTTCGTTAATAGTCTGCAGATGCTATCTACTACATGGTTGTAGGACCTTATATTTTGATGGACGTAACCACTAATTGATTAAATATGATGCTGTCATCATTGGAGTCAAATGCAATGGACGATGAATTGAAACCTCTGGCAGTTTGCGACATATGGTGCAACTGTCAGCCAATGTCCTGTTCCAAACAAAGTGGTTTTCTAGTCCCATCAGGATGATGCAACTTCTTCACCTTCCACATCTTCCACACTTTTTTCAGTAGTGTAGTGAACATACCTGCTGAGCCGTCTGCTTCCGTTTTGAGTGCTTCTTTGGGCATTCTATCTAGTCCTGCTACTTTACTGGGTATTTAGTAACTTTCTGGTTTTAATCATTCATCTTTGAAATATCATCTTCGTTCACTTACCAATTTTATTCTGACCTATAATTCACCTTCTTCAGTCAGAAGACATTTAATGGATATGTCGAAATAAAATTTCCCCTCTGACTCTGATGCACCTTAATAAGTGTTTGCAAAACTATTTACCCCTTACACCCAGATACTTCCTGGCAGTAAGATCCATACACTTTCAAAACACATCTCACAATACTATCCAGTGTGTCTATCAAAGAACACTGCATGTCAAACACTAGTTCAGTTCTTCAGTATCTGAGAAATCCCCGGTCAAACAGATTCATTGTAGTCCTCCTATAAATTTTATCTGCATAAATTGCATATTAATTGTTGTGAAAGATGTTAGACTCTGACAGATTTGAACTTACAATTTCAGTCTCATGAATGGTGCCCATCAAACGTCTCATTTTATTAGTAACTGAGTATCGTTTACATTTGCTTAAGGGAATAAACATGAAGAAGTTATGTATCGAAAATACCGATTGACTCACATAAATGAGAAGAGTAATTAAAGCAGTAATCAGTTTTTCTCTGAAATATGTAGAAATTACGATAAGATATCCACTGGCTATGGCTAACACGCTGAATAGAAATAAAAGTTTGTGAAGTGAAACAATAATTTTTTAATGAAACTTTATTGATACATTGAAAATCAAAAGTTTCATTTCCAGCCTTTCACTATCTACTTGTCCACATGTTACTTGGCTAAACATATTTCCCTAGTATGCTTATTTATTTCCCACACTTCGAATAAACTATAATTATCTCCTCCTCTGTAGCAGAGTGTTTTAGAACGGTTTGATTTCAGAACAACATTACTTGGTGAAGAATTAAACCGCACTCGGTATTTTACAGCTCTGTAGTGCTTCTTAGGTAACAATTTTTTGAACAAACTCCTTCCAAGCCTAGACATCAGAACGTTTTACTGAGGCTGCTACAGATTTTCGATTGATAATAATAATAATTTGCTTTATTCCAAAACAGTACATGTGATACAGAATGGAATTCTCAGCATTTTTACTATAGTATTGCATCCAGTTAGTACATTATCAATAAATAGAATTCTACATAGATTAAGGAAATCTCAGTTCATTATGACAACAACATATTGGCATGTCGGTAGCAAAGGTAAAGCTGAACAGTGTTTGAAGGTGTTAGAAAAGTAGGAGCTGTCATATTTACTGACATAAGCGAGAAAAAAAACAAAGCAGCACATAACATGAAAAAAAGAGAAAGGGAACAGGAAAAGAGAGAAAGAAAATGTTGTACCTATAAATGATATGAGTTGGAAAGACGAGATCCAGTTGTACTACTGACTATTTAATGAATTATAGGTGTCACGCCTAATGCTTTCTTTATCACACAGAACACGAGCTAAGTAGGGTATGGTTGAGTTTTTGTACTTGCTGGTGCGAGCATATAGTTTTCTATATAGGCTTCTGGTTTTACCTGATGAGATGCAAGGGGAGAGTTGTGAGTGAAGAGGGTGGTGTGAGTTAGATAAAATGGATTTGGCCCATTTTTCACATGAGTCCAAGTGCCTGTCGACCAGAATATTAACAAGCTGGTTAAGTGGCACGTTGCTTACCCTGCTGACAACCTTTAACATCCTGCGTAATATGTTATAGTCTTTCTTCAGTAGCCCGGGAAAAACTAAGGGGGAACAATAGAGAATAATAGGCAGAATGCGAGAATTAACGAATTGTAGGAGTAAGGGTTGGGTTATACCAGAATGTTTTAACTTCTTGATGTAGAAGGTAAGACGGAATATTTTCTTAGAAATCGCCAAGATATGAGACGACCAGGAGAGATCAGCAGATAGAATGACGCCTAGGTATTTAATTTCCGATTTGGTTTCTATTTCAGTGCCGTCTATGTTGCATACCTCGTGAGAGCCAACCAGTTTGTTTAGGTCGGATTTATGCCTAAAGGTGAAATTGACTGTTTGGCATTTGGAGGGGTTTAGGGTAAGACCGTTTTCCTTGGACCACTGGCTGATTTCTGACAGAAAGCCATTAAGTTTAGAGCAGTCGCTTTGACATTTGACAGGCAAAGATACTGTCAGGTCGTCAGAATATTTGACAAAATTAATGTCATTTGAAGATGGTAAGTCATGTAGAAAGAAAGAAAAGAGAAGTGGGGAGAGTACAGCACCTTGGGGGACACCAGCTTCAGTGAGTACAGCAGAGGATGATTTGCCTTTGTATACGGTGTACTGCTTTCTGTTAGAGAAGTAGGAATGCAGCCAGTTAGTGACCCAGGACTCAGTTTTTGTCAAAGAGAGCTTATTTAGCAGGAGACATCTAGGTACAGAGTCGAAAGCAGAAGTGAAGTCGAGAAACGTGCAGCGGACGTATTTGGCACCTTTATCTAATGATGAGACGATGTTGTTGTGTAAGACGGCTGCAGCGTCTAAAGTGCTCCTACCCTGTCTATAGGCAAATTGTTTGGGGTCTTCAAAGCTTTTAAGGGAGGGTTCAAGTTTAAGAAGTATTAGTATTGATATTAAATGCAACACATTCAACCGAATAATGAGGCATAAAATCAGTTATTTATTATCTGAAACCGCAGACGGAACCTGATGTTGTTACGCATCTCTGTAGCTGTCAGCAATTCTCCTACGGAAATAATCACTCGAAATACACAAGAATATAAGGTAGCTTCATTGTTAATTTGAGGTAATAGTATTGCCCTTTTAACTAAATAGTAACAATGACTAGTATGAATAAACAATTTTTTACAAATGAAAAATACATCCACAATGAACGGAATACTGAAGCTGAATTAAACTTACCAAAATACCATAGTCATTATAAAGTGAACAACCGGATTCAAGTCGTACGACCCACTTTAATCTAACATACACAAGAGAATGATGAATACTTACAAGAAGTGTGGGGCTATAACGATGATTATTGCAATTATAATGAGAATGATAGAGAACACAATCACCTATGAGGGTTACACAATCAACCAACAATGACATGAGACGACCTACACGTTTGTCATATTTCGAAATGTTGACGAAATTTTTCTGTATTTTCTGATCACAGTTTATCACAAATGACTCTTCATTTGTTGCATATAAAGTCTCCTCAGATTTACGGAAAGATGATTTATTTGAGTCGTTGTCAGTTAGTACCATCCTGAAAGAAAGATGAACCTGATTTGAAATTTAAATAGAAAATAGGATGATTACTGCTGTTCGGTGTGTAGAATGATTCGAAAGCATTTGAATAATGTGATATAAATAGGTCTGATTTGTGTTCTGTTTTTGATATGTATGTGATATAGGGATGGCTGAGCACTCAACATTCAGCCAATTGCTGTTGAGATTGTATTTCAGCTCGCTAAATTCAGTGTGCAGTAACATCGGCTCTCAAACGGTACGTGAGCATCTGGAAAATTTCATTATCACTAGGTGAGGAAGTGAGTATATATGATTTAAGCTATTTGAAAAATTCCTGCATACTTTTAAACGTCATTTTATTTTGAATATAACTCATTCAATAGGCGTCGTTCAATTTTACTCAATGGAACTGACAGATTTTTTGACTGAATCCAACTGATTTCTGATGTTTCGACACGCTAACTATTTAGGCATAATTTGGAAAAGAATTCTCACTTCCTTGTAATCACATATAAAACGATATCTTTGTATCTGCAACTCCACTGATATTCGATATTGAACGATCAGATAATGCATTCACAAACGATTAAACAATGCCTACACTGCAGGACTCATTGCCTAACTTATTGGAACAACTAACATCAATCCAGTGACCAACGTGTTGATCTGTGCATTCTAAACGTGGTGAAAAAACGCAGTTAGTCCATGGTTCAGTGTAACAATCAATACATACCGTACTTAAACAAAAAAAAACAAAAATTATTGTGAAATAATTCAGATCAGATAGCCGCCTAGTTCATTATTCACTGTCTATTTATATGAAAAATAACAGTAGAAATGGTGATGTGAATGTGATTTTAAAACTCAAAGTCCACAGAATTTTTGACAAAATGTAAGTGTTTTCCAAAATGTAGTAACACAGTACTCCAATACTCTAGATTGTACTATTCGGATAATAATCTAACATTAAACAGACATCTTGAACTGATTATATTTTGATCATGGAGAAATAAATGAATGCAAATATTCTCAACTTTGATACACTGGAGGTAATTTCAAACAGTAACACAGGTTATGAAATATACGAAATCATTCATGAGAAGAATAAATCTTAGAAGGAGGTGTAAAACTGACAGGACTAATAGATAAATGAAGCATCACCTGACAAACTCTGAATTTGGATAAGTCAGTTCAAAATAGGAAGAGATGAGACAATCGAAGAAACTGTTTAAGGCGAAAAAAGAAATGACAACACTAGCAGATTGAATGAACATTGATTCAAGATAAAATTCATATTTAAACCAGATAAAATGATTACATTCCGATGAAATCCCTAAGATCCACAAACCGTCAGAAATGTCTAAGTAGTAACTTTGCTACAAATCAACCCCAAAACTTATTACGTTGGTGAACAACATTGTCTCATGGTTCCAATAGATTCCGCTTTGCAACAAACCTCATGTGATCATTCTTCAGTTAATGTGAGTCGGTGGTACAGCTGTTAGGACGCTTGCTGACCATGCACATGGTCCAGGGTTCGATCCTCGGCCGACGCACACCAGATATCAATGGTCAGCCTGCAAAATTTGGGCTACCGATATCACATGCTGAAATTTCCATACCTGTATCAGAAATATTAGTTTCCTATGATCATATGTTATTCGCTTCATCTGTGTTAATATTTTCCTGGGTAGAGACTTCGTTGTCTGATATAATGTTCTGAGGTGTCATTTACCTGCATCCTATTCTTCTACAAATACCACTGTGTCGTAGAATTGTATTTTGTCTCTCCTGGCACTCTTCTTCACTTCGTCATTCAACGTTGGTGTGCATGGAACTCAGCTTCACCATCTGTAGTCAATTTCTGTTATGACTAATCTTCTGTTTCACCATCCTCCTCTCCTCATTTAGATTCCAGTTAGGCGTCCGTTGAGATCTATTACTCGTCTTTACTCTCTTATCTTCCTAAAATGGTTGTACAGATTTCCTTGAACATCAACTTCAGAGTTCTGTTGTTCTACCAAACGGGTTTCCTCATTGATGCTAAGTAACGTATCTTGCCTTGTCCAAATAGCTGCATGGATGGTGTTCTTTATCGCTGGATTCCTCAATTTACAGATGTTGAACTTGACACCTTCTGCACATCCTTGTGCTTGTACATGTTAACTTCAATCAAAAGATCTTTGGATACAGTCTGCGAAGAGTTCATTACTCACATTATTTTCGACAGATGATGAATTCCTTCGTTGTAATGTGTGCCCTCAGCTTAGTGTTCAAGTCACTGCCCCGAAAAGCTGATATTAAGTCAGGCTTTTTATTAGGAATTACGCAAATATCTCAGGCTTTTCCAACAACACTATGCAATCAGATATTTTCACTGCGAGTTGAAATTACAGATTCAGCAGCACATTTCCATTGGATTCGATTCTCTGCCATCACTTTCATTTGTGTCAACGACTCCCTACAGTTTCTAATTCCCTTACCCCATGGCCTCCTCCATGATACTCTCAGTCATGCGATGACACGACTCTCATTCGGAACCCTAAGAGTGCAAAACTGAGCAAAACACAAATCGTTGCAGAAAAGCTTGAGATAGAAAATTGTTTGTTGCTTGTAACTGCTTTCATTCATCATCAATTTGAATATCATTCAGCCATGTTATCTAAAAATGTCCCCCAGCTTTACACAAGGGTCTCAATTATTCGAAGACTGGTCACTTGTCTTCTCAGGTTTGGTAAGTTGCAAGAAGTAACAGGATCTTTTTCTTCTATTTGGGCTAAATCAACAAGAGGTACCAATATCTCAATTTATGTTGGTGTCTAACATGAAGATTGAACCGCGTGTCGTGCTGCATAGCACAGACAACAGCAGTTATAAAAGTAGAGGCATCAAAGAGGTCTCCTTGTCATTCATGCACCATGAAACCAATTAATTCAGTGTGACAAAATATACTACTCAAATCAAGTGTTAGTACGAAGATAACATTTTGGATAATAATTCAGAGTTGATGGAAGAGAAACGTGTGCATAAATCTAGAATATTAATGTCAGTAAACGTTAAATTTGCTTTGACTTTCAGAATTTTCACTAAGTTTGATAGTCTCGTAGTTCAAAGAGAAGATATTACTTTGTAATGTTTCTAGTTACCATTCTCACATGTCATTTCGTTTTGTGCTTCTTCTGTCTACCTTACATGTGTTCTGTATTGTGTCACAAGGATTTCCGATTTCTTCCCTTCGCAAAACAATCCATATCTACGCTCATCAACATTCTTGAGGAATACATTCCACACCATATAACACAGAGAGAATCTTGTCAGTAGCAAACGCCACATTAATTAAGAGATTTTAGCTGGCTGTAGACTACTGAAGACAATTTTACTATGAATATGAATGTGCTGTGTACCTAGTTGGTGTTCACGTCACCTAAATCTGGGTAACAAGCACATTTGTGGTCTCCATTAGTCTTCAACTACCCATATGAACCAGTAGTATCTATCGCATCTCCACTACTTCTCACGTTTTTATCTGCATTAGCTCTGTATATCTTCATTTATTTAGAACATTATTGATGAACTTGATGTGAAAATAAACCACTCCGTATAAAATGTATCAGTCTTAATTAGTATCCAACCCAGTAATTTCACAAAAACTGCAGACTTAGTGGAATAAAAGTCCTTTAAATACAAGTTATATTTGCAAAAATCTTACCGATATTTGTCTCTTGATCTTGATCACTTTTCTGAAGATATTCTGACTAGTTTCACCAAAGAAATGTGGGGAATACTTACTTCACTACTGCTGAAAAAGCCAAGTATGTAAACTCTGTTAAACTAATCAGTACCTTGAATTTGTAGCTGAATTTCTAATTCATTTAGTGATGACGCCAAAATGGATTGCAAAACAAAACTATTTACATATTGAAATTACATCCAGTTGACAATTGAATGCAGGGAGAAAATCTCTATGCTTCTATAAACTTACTACAAAGAACTTCAAGTACGTTTTACTGATCGACAAGACATTGCTTTCTCTGTCTCATTAGCATACTACTTGTTTACTCTGCATGGTGACTTTTCAGTTGACACGTTTATTTTCGTGACAGTGACATTTAAACTTTAGTGTTGGTTATACTCCAAATAGTTTAAAGGGTATCTATTTTCTACAAGGGTATTAAACTCAGTACTTCACTATCATTATTATTATCGTTATTATTAATAATATCTGGCAGCCATACATATACTCAAGACCCCTATAAAAATCTACTTAAACCTGTGTTGAATCGAAAAAGGATAAAAAATGTGAGAATTTCCGTCCTATCCTGACCAAGTAAACTCTCTGTCAATTATTCTTTTTAATTAACCTGTTTCCTGTTTGACGAGTCAGTGCTTCGGTGGTAAGATGCTTGTCACTCATGGCTCACGTTGTATGAGGTTCGATCCTTCGCTGACCCACTCCTAAACGTCGCCTAGCCGCCAGGTGGATGGGTGTGAGACTAGCAGCCTTAACCTGTATATCGTGAAGAATAACAGCACTGCTAAGGAAACCTCTAAGCTTAATGCCCAATGTTACACTCGGAACGCAAACAAATGGAAAAAAATTATTCCTTGCCGACTTGGGAAAAATAGAGTAAACTACTTTCATTGTAATTCATTCTTCCAAGTTGTTACCTGGATGTAGTGGTGTACAGAATAAGTTTTCTTCATAAATTGGTTATACGTCTTTATCGCGGTTACACATTACAACACTATCGTCAACATACATCAAAATATAAATAACCGCAGTGGTCGAATCATTCCTGAAGATTATGAAGGCTGTTTAAGTTGGAGCATAGAAGGAATCCACACTGCAATGTATGTTATTGATAAAGAATAAGAAAATGAAGAAAACAAGCTGTTATGAATTCCATAGATGACTTATCCATTCACTGTTTAACCGCGAAAAACACAATTGCTTAAGGAATTCTCGCATTACATAAATTACCTCATGATTCTGAAACAGTAGATGGCCACCTCTGCTAATACAAACTCTGTGATAACTAGTGTGAACATGCCTAGCACACCCTTAGTCCAATCATCACGAATATGTAAGTGACCAGATTTGAAGACCATAACTGACACCTGTGTAGGCAGGAAATAAATAAGAAAATGACAAAAGAATAAATAAGTAGCAAATAAGAATAGATTGTTAGATATCTACCAACTCTAAATACAAATTGAGAATTAGTTTCACTAATTAGTTTTGGCTACAACATGTAGTTTTAATTTTGGTCTGTTGATGATAAATGGAATTCAGGCAGATAACGAGTCAGTCAGTCAGTCACTGTCTAATATCCACAATTCAAACACTTCATATAAACGGACACAAAGCATTGATGAAGTTTGAACAAGTCATTGTTACATGGATAGAAATAACCAACAGAATTGTGGTGATGCATTAGCTGATCGTATGTACTCATGTATGTTTCTATCGAAGCGCTACATATATGGGTAGGTCCCAACAGTTTGAACAGACGTGAAGGTGTGATGCTAGCTGATGCATGGTAAATCCTGATTAATAAATAAAAGATGGATTGTATCACTAATTAATCATATCTGTCTATATCTTCTTATGAAGAGGTTGGGAAATGCTGAACAACTGTTTACCCATACACACATACACACACCACTGCAT